ACATTTCATTTTGTAAAGCCTTGTCTCCTTTTTCATTAGTACTAAGTGTTTTAAAATGTCAGAGTTCAAAGGTGCTTTCTCTAATTTCTTCTGTTTTCAATTATAGAAGGTGTGTCTAACCCATACAAAGAAAAACTTGTTGCCCTACTCAGTTCCTAGGTTACAGAGGGGTAACTGATTATCTGATTATGAATCTACTCACGTTAGAGCAGTTAACCACAAGAGTCCTTTCCCCCTTGCTTCTCCGTTCTATCAGAGACTAGCAGGTAGTGTAGACAGCCCAGCTGGACAGAAATCAGATGTGGATCTCTGCCAGCCACACTATGTAGACTGAGCATGATGACGGTAAGATCAGAACGAGGTTTAGGTAATTACAACATTGATACCCAGTTCTAAAACAGTGCAACAGGTATTTGAAAACCACACTTATTCAAAGGAGAATGAGGCTAGTCCTGGGTGAGGTGTTTTCGCTCAGCCTTCTAAAACTAGAAGTCTGTCTCCATTACTCAGAAAAAAACCTCATTTTTTCATTAATTTAAAAGACTTTATGAGATATGGTAATGATGACAGTATGAAAAAAAAAAAGCCCATGTCTCTCAGTTAACACAGTGATTAAAGCTGCCCATCAACTCTGAAGGTGAGGAAGTCATTGTGCTCTCCTTGGTCCACAGTGTTTACATGTACAAATCAAAAATTTCCAGAGTTCAAGCACTGGCACTGTGGTCAGGGTGGTGATCAACTCCTATACATCATAATGATCTGTTTACTCTAGTACATGGCAAACTACGTTCAGTCATCCAGAATATCTTCATCCAGATTGATGTCTGTTGTATCAATATCTTCTAATTCCAAATTATCCAAATCAACGTCTAGTTCTAGTAAGCTCTGGAAAGGAAAGGAAGATGGTGATGTCACACATACCATGTTAGGAAGTTATCTGGTGTACAATCCAAAGCCAGAACTCCAATTTCCTCAATTGTCAAGGGGCATGGTCTCACTTCAAAGCCTCTGCTCTGAACTGGGACACTGATGGCATTTACACCTCAGAGGCCTGTGCTCCTGACACATTTCCTGGAACATGAGGGGTAGAGGATGTCGGACCTACCTTTTCTTCTTTGTGGGCAGTTTGGGAGGCCATAACTGGAGTGGGAGAAGCAGGTTTCTCGTCGGTTTCCTGAAAACCCAAGCAGAGGTATGTATGAAGTCAAAGGAACATGCCCACGGATTTAAATTTTCCCCCCAAGCCAAGGAAGACGAGGATCAGGAAGCAGCAGGTGGTTTTCTGACCAACGCTCTCAGCCACACTGTCATAACATGAGTGTTCCACTAACCTGCTGAGCTGACATTTTTGTGGGCTGGAAGCCTTCTGCCTCCTCCATAACATTTCTCTCTTCATTTGGCTGTTAGAACAAAGCAATGATGAAGTGAAATACTGTGAAATCATAAATGATCTAGACATTTGGCCCAAATCCCAGATGGCAGCTCTTAATAATGTATTTGCAGTTCAAAACCTAGAGTTCTGTTTCCTCCTCACTGTCACACTACAAGAAGCCCGGTACTGCCACTCACCGTGACAAGAGGGTACTGCTTGGCTGGCCACAGATCAGCACGTGTCTCCTTCACCCATTCTTCAACAACAAAGGCTTCCTTTAACCCAGGGAAAAGGTTTTCGTACTCTGTTGGATCAGCAAGGGATTCTGCTGCTTTCTGGTTGACTTTTGAGAGATTCTCCCTCCAAAGTTTCACTACCCTATTAGAGACACAGAACCAAACAGATTAAATAAGTGTCCTGTTTTTATTTGAAACATTTCTTCCTAATATTAAATCCATACCTTGAAACCTGGCTGTTCGGGCCAGGAAGGCAGCCTCTGGCAGTCTTCCTGTTCTGATCAAGAGCTCTAGGCATGCGTCAAGCCTGAGGAGTCAAGGAAGAGGCAGTGACTATACAGTAACAGTAATGCACTTCCTGTTGCAAAGTTATAAAATCCCCTCCATACCCTTGTTCTTATGCATTAATTTCATTTCTGTTGCTGAGTCTTTACTAATTCTTTTTGAGACAGGATCTCCCTATAATCCCAGCTGGCCTAGACCTCGCTATCCCAGAGATCTGCCTGTTCTGCCCCGCCCCCCGCCCCAGGGATTAAAGGCGTGCCACCATGCCTAGCTCTTTATTTATCTTAATGTTGAACAGTCAGTGGATTTCAGGGAGGTGAGATAAGACAGCTTTTGTGACCACTTTCAGCTTATTTTGTTTCAATAGGTCATAAGACTAAAGTAGCTTTTCAAGGGGAGTTATGACAGGCGAGGCATGCATTCTGAGTTTTATGATGGGCCTGGGAGTGTAGCTCAGTAATGGAATATACGTCTAGTGTGCACAAACCAATTCCCCAGCACCTCAAGAAAAAAATTTTTTGGTCTTTTTGAGCTGTAGCCCCAGCTGTCCTTGAACTCACAGATCCGCCTGCCTCTGCTTCCTGAGTGCTGGGACTAAAGGCGTATGCTTACCAGGCCCAGCAAAAAAACTTTCTTTAACCCCCCGATTTTATGCATTCTGTCATACGTGTTAAGTCTTATCTGGTCAAGCATTTGTATCCAAACGCCCTCCAGTGCAAGTTCATCTACTGGCTCTAAATCAGTCTATCTAGAGATCTAGAGATCTTCTGCTTTCCCTCACCCAGCGGTAAGTACTTGACAACAGTTCCCAGGCTAGGGCTAGGGGCCACCACCCATTGTCTTACGCACACCAGCATCACTGCTGCAAGTTTACGTGAGCAAGCTTCTAGTGGCCTGAAAAACTCTTGTTTCCCTATGTTCATGGACCAACCCCGGCTCTTAACAATCTTTCTACCCCCTCTTCTGCACAGCGGTCCCTGAGCCATGAGTGAGGTTTAATATAGGAGTCCTATCCAGGAACACACACTCTGCAGTCTCTCATTCTCTAAAACTTAGCCAGTTGTGGCCTTCTGTGTGCATCAAACCGTTGTATAAGGAAGTTTCGCTGGTGAAGACAGGACATACTTCAGACTCAGGACTCTGGAGCAATGGAGCTGAAACTGACCTTGCAGCCTCCTCCCTGAGGACTAGCTCTCACAGTTCTGTAGGACACTATGTAAGCTGCTAAGGGAGAAAATCAGTCAATGGTTCAACCCAGCTCTAAAGCCTAATAACCACAATGACTGGCTCAGCAAACTATTTTTATTGGTGCAGTAGTGGCACTGTTATTTGTGGGGGTAACTGGACTTAAATT